TATATGTTGGGGACAGTGGATTATACATTTTTCATTCGCTCATAAAATAGTCCATTGACACTGGTTCGTAAAGGAAAATGTATATACATTTTTTATACATGGTTCATGTTACCATATGTACGTGGTACGTTTCACGAAACATATTGCAAACGACTCATCTCAATATACATATGCATTGAACAAATTGGCAACAGCGGATTATACATATTTCAAGTCTATATATTCTTGATCAATGAAATCTACATTATACATATTGCAAGTATCATACGTACTATCAGACTTGTTGACCAAGGAAAACAGATTATGCATGCTGCAAACACCTAAACTCAATATATATATTCATTATATATACTGGAACAGCGAATTATACATATTGTCAGAATTACTGATCAAGGAAAAATAAATTATGCATATTTCAAACACCTAAACTCAATATGCACATTCAGTCTATATTCTGAAAATAGCTCATTTTATACATATTTATCATATATCTGCAAGCAGCTATCTTATACATATTCATTATACATCTGCAAGCAGCTATCTTATACACATTTATTATACATCTGCAAGCAGCTGTCTTATACATATTTATTATACACCTGCAAGCACCTATCCTATACATATTCATTACAATACTGCAAACAACTAATCTTTTACATACTACAAGTATTATACATATTTCTAGAATGGTTTATCGTAAGGAAAATGGATTATCAGCATACATCGTAGCACCCTCGTTCCCAGTGACTTTGAGATGGAATTAGCTACAACTATGGATCTCTCTTGTCTGACCGTGTTCCTTTGGGACAGATTCCTATATAAGATGAAAGCACGCTGTTGCTGAGCATAGTTCATCACTGAAGTAGCTTCACATACAAAGTATGAGTTTTAATATGAAATCTCTTATTATCTGGACAGCTCTTTCTTTGCTTCCTACAAGTGAAGGAGTTGAGCCACACGTAGCTGTCAAGGCATGTCAACATGAATTTTCCTCGGTGCCTTTGACAAGTACTCGACTGCAAGTCACCACCGTCCTCTCGACCATCACTCTCCTGGATGTCACGCCTACTTATGTTAGCGTTACCACTACGGAATGTGTACCTTACACCATAACTCACACGGAAACGCTCTCTCATTATGAAGCTCCTCAGCTGGCAGACTCCACACATTACATTACGGAGCTGAAGATCAAACAGAAAAATCGTGCATACACTTATACCAGCTATCAGCCTGAAAGCATCACCATTACTTACCGGGCTACTGATCTTGAAAAGCATGTGACACATGTTGTGGGGACAACGGCGACCACGGCTGTATCTAGGGTATTTGTTGTGAAGACTGTGTCCACCTCGATTACAACCACTGCAACATATACTCAAGTTGATGTGTTCAGCTCCATCACATACTCACCGGTGCATGTGACTACGACCATGACTAACGCCTGGCCGATCCTCAAGACAGTTTACCACACAGACTACATTAAAGAGGCTGTTGATTATGTGACAACGGTTATGGAGACATCGACAGTCTATCATCATTGTAACGACGGTTATGGCTTTTAATCAAGGAATATCAATAAAATGTTTCACTCATTCATAAAATATTTCAATGGCCTTAATGAAAGTGTTTGTCAGAATGCTTGATTATACATAATGCAAGTTCAATATAAATATTCATTATACATGTTCTAAATAGCTATACTCAATATAGATATGCATTGTACCGACTGGCAACAGCGGATTATACATATTTCAAGTATTATATATATATTGTTGCAATGCTTGATCAATGAAATCTAGATTATACATAGCAAGTATCATACATACTATCAGACTTGTTGATCAAGGAAAACATATTATGCATACTGCAAACACCTATCTCAATATAAATATTCATTATACATGTTGCACATAGCTATACTCAATATACATATGCTTAGTATATGTTGGGGACAGTGGATTATACATTTTTCATTCGATCATAAAATAGTCCATTGACAAGGAAAATGTATATACATTTTTTATACATGGTTCATGTTACCATATGTACGTGGTACATTTCATGAAACATATTGCAAACGACTCATCTCAATATACATATGCATTGAACAATTTGGCAACAGCGGATTATACATATTTCAAGTCTATATATTCTTGATCAATGAAATCTACATTATACATATTGCAAGTGTAGCGTGACACACTGCACTCACCCCCTTACCCCCACCTCCTCTTAGATGATGCTCGCTCCGTGTGCTCCGTATATGTATACGCCCCAATGCGTGCACAGCATGTGCCTGTATATATATATGTGTGTGTGTGTGTGTGTGTAAGGATGAGTATATATATGAGTATGTGTATATGTATAAGTATATATACGTGTTTTGGTGCGTGAGTGCGTGTGGTTGCGCTTGTTGACCGTCTGTTATATGTTGGTATATGTTTTGTTTTATGTCTGTTTTATGTATTACATTCATTATTTATTTTATTATTTTACTGCCATGTATTGTTCTCTTGCTTATTTTTGTTTAATTGTTAATTATTTTAACTTTTATACTTTACACGTCACGGCCTCCCGCGGCCTTTTGTAGAGACTAAGAAATACACTCGTTGTTCTACTGCACCACGGGGCGTTTCTTTTCCTCCATCCTCAGGCATTTTGATATATAATTATAAAAGGTGATACTACGTGGCCGACAGATCCAGCAAAGGAACCTGGAAAGACGAAAAGCTAAGTATTGAGCCTAAGTGACAGTATCGTAAAGATAAGAGCTGGACTGTGCAAGATTGCACCTATACATGCACCACACATCAAATGCAGCCTCGTGGCTCTTCTAGATTTCCTTTCTTTTATGCCCTCTCCTGCATATTTCCCATTCATTTCACCCTCTTCATGTATCTTGTACTATTCTTATGCTAGCCTACCCTTTCTCTTCTCCCTGGACCTTTTTTAGTATTTTATCTAACTCAAGATGCTCCATTCACTTATGCGCCATTAACAGATTTCCCACTGTGACATCCCACAAGGTCATATTCCCCATTAGACATCAGCGGCAGCAGTAGTGGGGGATTTGACGTCAGGGGGTGGGCTTACCCTACAGATGCCCACTGGCCTTCATGGGGAGGGATCTTGGCCCTTAAGGCACCCTTCTTGGTAGGTGGGGCCCCCTGGGGACTACACATGTCCGTACACTACAGATCTAAAATTTTTGGTGGGCAGCGGTGGGACGTCGCAGCAAAGGCCATCAGTCTGGGAAATCTTGTATGTTCTTGCCCCAGCATACTTTTATCAATATAATATATCTTTACCTTCTGCAGTTGATGTGAGCTACCGTATTTGTTCTCCGTATTGTTAGTAAAGTAAAATGTTATCACTGCTCTTTGTCTCAAATAGTTTTCATGTTTTTGCATTGTAATATTTTTGAGCTGGCATTTTTTCTTGCAGAGCTAAGTCTCCTCTTCCAGGGATTTATTTTACTAATCTCCAGCTCCGTATAGCTTTACTGGGTGGCTCATTTCAGTCTAGGAATTTTGATTTTACTAACCCATTCTCCCACGACAGCTGTATTTCGTGCCAGTGTTCGAGCCCTGTGCTAGTGCGTGTTCTTATTTAATGTGCATTTAATTATTTCTAGTGAATTATTGGTATTGATCTCACTGTTTTCCTTATTTTCCTGTGTGGTTTCATTTACCATGATGTCTATTTCTTAGTGTTTTTACTGTGTTGTCCATTTTTTGTTTCCTCGTCCTGTATAACAGGTTAGTGTACATTCCTTCCCAGTCCTTTTGTGTGCGTGCATACGTGCCTGCCCAGTCCTTTTGTGTGCGTGCATACGTGCCTACCCAGTCCTATTGTGTGCGTGCATACGTGCCTGCCCAGCCCTATTGTGTGCGTGCATACGTGCCTGCCCAGCCCTTTTGTGTGCGTGCATACGTGCCTGCCCAGCCCTATTGTGTGCGTGCATACGTGCCTGCCCAGCCCTATTGTGTGCGTGCATACGTGCCTGCCCAGCCCTTTTGTGTGCGTGCATACGTGCCTGCCCAGTCCTTTTGTGTGCGTGCATACGTGCCTGCCCAGCCCTATTGTGTGCGTGCATACGTGCCTGCCCAGCCCTTTTGTGTGCGTGCATACGTGCCTGCCCAGTCCTTTTGTGTGCGTGCATACGTGCCTACCCAGCCCTATTGTGTGCGTGCATACGTGCCTGCCCAGCCCTATTGTGTGCGTGCATACATGCCTGCCCAGCCCTTTTGTGTGCGTGCATACGTGCCTGCCCAGCCCTTTTGTGTGCGTGCATACGTGCCTGCCCAGCCCTTTTGTGTGCGTGCATACGTGCCTGCCCAGCCCTTTTGTGTGCGTGCATACGTGCCTGCCCAGCCCTTTTGTGTGCGTGCATACGTGCCTGCCCAGCCCTTTTGTGTGCGTGCATACGTGCCTGCCCAGCCCTTTTGTGTGCGTGCATACGTGCCTGCCCAGTCCTTTTGTGTGCGTGCATACGTGCCTGCCCAGTCCTTTTGTGTGCATGCATACGTGCCTGCCCAGCCCTTCTGTGCGTGTGCGTGCGTACATGCCTGCCCAGCCCTTCTGTGCGTGTGCGTGCGTACGTGCCTGCCCAGCCCTTCTGTGCATGTGCGTGCGTACGTGCCTGCCCAGCCCTTCTGTGCGTGTGCGTGTGTATGTGCCTGCCCAGCCCTTCTGTGCGTGTGCGTGTGTACGTGCCTGCCCAGCCCTTCTGTGCGTGTGCGTGTGTACGTTCCTGCCCAGCCCTTCTGTGCGTGTGCGTGTGTACGTGCCTGCCCAGCCCTTCTGTGCGTGTGCGTGTGTATTAACCATTTTACAACCACCCAGTGTTCTTTGTAGGACGTATCCGGCATACTGCTCTTTGTGTATACTGTTTCGTTTTGTGTCGTTGTACTGTATTTCTTTACATATTGTGTTGGTGTTTGTCCGTCTGGGTAACGAGTATTTACTTGCTGACGTTTCGTGCCCTTGACACGTGACCCATGCCACAAAAGGGGACAAGGAAGCTACCGACAAGAAGAGGCGTCCGTGATCATAGCAGCCAGCCCTCCTCGCTTGCCACTTCCCCAGAAGGGATATTGCTCCCCCTAGTTGTTGGTGGATCACAGCCCGATCTAAGAATGGCCAGCGCTGCGATGGCTGCCGACGTCACGATGCACGAGGAAACTTTGCAGCAGATGAAACAAGGGCATGAACAAATGGGTCAGCGAATGCAAGAGTTAGAGAGGCGGTATGCAGAGGTTGAGCGAAGGATGGAGGAACAAAACCAGCAGATAGCGGAAGAACGTCGACAGACTGCAGAGCGACACCAACAGCTGCTCGAGACAATTGGACGGGTGCTGTCCAGCAACATCTCTTCGAATTCACAGGCAGTTAATGACAACGAGCAACCAACTGCACCTCCACGGACGCTGACCCCCACTCCACAGCAGGCACAGACACAGGCTGATACCCATAATGGCATGATGCTAGCTGAGTGCCCGACAAGCCCTTGCAGAAACTCGCAGCGGGTCACCAGTCCCAGTCCTCGCAGAAACTTGCAGCGGGTCACCAGTCCCAGTCCTCACAGAAGCTCGCGGCGGGTCACCAGTCCCAGTCCTCGCAGAAACTCGCAGCGGGTCACCAGTCCTAGCCCTCACAGAATCTCGCAGCAAGTCACCAGTCCCAGCCCTCGGCCTCGACGCTACCATATCCAAGAGGGTGAAGGTACCAATCTCCAGCTGTCTAGCAGGTCACCTGGACGACAACGGCAGGACAGCAGGTGCACTATAGTCCGCCACAATTCAAATGTGGGTCAACGGCAGATGCTTGGGCCATGCTGTTGTAGGAATGCAGAAGACCCAAGTACCCAAGCTGGAGGTTCTGGGGCCTCGTACCAAGAAACAAGAGGTGTCGAGCAACCCCACTGTTGGTCGAGAGCAGAGCAGCAGCCTGAGGAGAGATACTGGTACAATGACCTTCCAAGCCAAAGACCTTGTGGTCAAAACCCACCACAGCCGATGCCACGTAGGAATGTGAATTCTGACCCTACACCACTGTTTCCTCATGCTGATGCTTGTTCATGGCATCCAGTAGGCCGTACCTCATACCAGCCGTCAGCAAGTCCCGAGGTTCCCGTGCAGTACATTTTCTCCAAGGCCAAGATTCCAGAGTTTAGGGGAGAAGTCACCGCAGCAAAGTCCTTCCTCAAAAATCAGGAGGTGGAAGGATGGATACGGGCCATTGAGAACCTCGTAAAACCCCCTACTTCCAAGATGTTTATCCAGGCAGCCAGGACCAGCTGTAAAGGCCGTGCAGAGCGCATCATCAACTCTGCACTTTTTGATCATCTAAGAAGCTGGCAGGTGTTTTAGGACCAAATTCGCAAGACCTTTCAAATGGAGATCCAAGGCAGTGTTTATCAGGGTTATCGTGACTACCCGGCTGCCATCGGTGATCCTGATGAACTGGTACGTAGGGTGTTTATTAGCAGACTGTCTCCCTGGCTTCGTGACATCCTTGCAGTAAGGGATGACAGTTCACCAGGACAAATGGCCGATGCTGCTCAGCGTGTCTGGAATGCAAGACACGGAGTACGACACCACAAGCTAGACACGTCTGAGGAATCCAGTCGTAACCCAGAGCGGCCACCTAGAGGTAGAGATCATTATACCTGTCCTATTGAAGCCAATGTAGGGCAGCAGCAGGTAGTCCCCCAACACGTCGTCCCACAGCACAGTCAGCAGAAATGGTGCACTTATCACCAGGTTACCAGTCATGATGCTGGTGAGTGCCGAGCCAGAGCCACTAACCAACATCGGGTATGTTATAGCTGCAGGAGGACAGGCCACTATAGAAATGCTTGTCCCTTTCCTGAAGGCCAGGGTGCCGAGGCTCCAAGCGCCACTGGCACAGCTCTCCAGGGGAGCAGGTCAGGGAAGTGGCCACGATAGCAACCTCCACCCTAACTGGACGACCAGTAGTGGCACTGACTGTAAACGGAATTAGTGTGGTATGTTTTATAGACACCGGGTCAGAGGCGACGATCATCAAACCCTCCATCCTGCCCTTAATAGATCCTAAGGGAGCTTTGAATGTGACCCCCAAGCAGCCGTCTGTTAAGAGGAGTCTCTGGGAAGATAATTCCCGGCTTAACAGAAGTGGATTTATCTTTCTGCCTTGATACCACCCTATGTGTTAACCATCGGGTCATGGTCTGTGATGTGTGGTTCCCTGGAAGCCTTTTGCTGGGAATGGACTTTTTAAGGAGGGTAACATACAGCCTGTCGTCGGAGGCCAACAGTCATCAAGCCTGTCTGTCGATTGAGGGCAGAAACTTCCCAGTCACCTACACTGATGCCAAGTCACTACAGCTAGCTTTTGTAACAGCAGAACACTCCCAATCTACTTCGAGAACTACAAGTTCCTCTATCAGTGCAGGTCAACTAGTCATGACTCATCTCCTCAACTCATCCACACTCCACCCGTACACTGGTTGCTGGCTACCAGTGTCTGTACAGAGGACTGCCCCAGCAGACGGTGTATATGAATTTAGTCCTCTCCAATCAACAGTCTTCGAACCTTCCCACGATTCTTGACCGTAAAGAACTGGCGCTGCACTGTATGGGTAGAGAACCCTACAGCCAAGAGGCTATTTATTAGAACAGGCACTAGGTTAGGAACGATTTCACCTGTAGCGTCTGGCGCAGCCGCAGCCGCAGTGCCTCCTTCAGCGTCTGGCGCAGCCGCAGCCGCATTGCCTCCTTCAGCGTCTGTCGCAGCCGCAGCCGCAGTGCCTCCTTCAGCGTCTGTCGCAGCCGCAGCCGCAGTGCCTCCTTCAGCGTCTGTCGCAGCCGCAGCCGCAGTGCCTCCTTCAGCGTCTGTCGCAGCCGCAGCCGCAGTGCCTCCTTCAGCGTCTGTCGCAGCCGCAGTGCCTCCTTCAGCGTCTGTCGCAGCCGCAGTGCCTCCTTCAGCGTCTGTCGCAGCCGCAGTGCCTCCTTCAGCGTCTGTCGCAGCCGCAGTGCCTCCCTCAGCGTCTGTCGCAGCCGCAGTGCCTCCTTCAGCGTCTGTCGCAGCCGCAGCCGCAGTGCCTCCTTCAGCGTCTGTCGCAGCCGCAGCCGCAGTGCCTCCTTCAGCGTCTGTCGCAGCCACAGTGCCTCCTTCAGTGTCTGTCGCAGCCGCAGTGCCTCCTTCAGCGTCTGTCGCAGCTGCAGTGCCTCCTTCAGCGTCTGTCGCAGCCGCAGTGCCTCCTTCAGCGTCTGTCGCAGCCGCAGTGCCTCCTTCAGCGTCTGTCGCAGCAGCAGTGCCTCCTTCAGCGTCTGTCGCAGCCGTAGCCGCAGTGCCTCCTTCAGCATCTGTCGCAGCCGCAGCCGCAGTGCCTCCTTCAGCGTCTGTCGCAGCCGCAGCCGCAGTGCCTCCTTCAGCGTCTGGTGCAGCCGCAGCCGCAGCCGCAGTGCCTCCTTCAGCGTCTGGCGCAGCCGCAGCCGCAGCCGCAGTGCCTCCTTCAGCGTCTGGCGCAGCCGCAGCCGCAGCCGCAGTGCCTCCTTCAGCGTCTGGCGCAGCCGCAGCCGCAGCCGCAGTGCCTCCTTCAGCGTCTGGCGCAGCCGCAGCCGCAGCCGCAGTGCCTCCTTCAGCGTCTGGCGCAGCCGCAGCCGCAGCCGCAGTGCCTCCTTCAGCGTCTGGCGCAGCCGCAGCCGCAGTGCCTCCTTCAGCGTCTGGCGCAGCCGCAGTGCCTCCTTCAGCGTCTGGCGCAGCCACGGCCGCAGTGCCTCCTTCAGCGTCTGGCGCAGCCGCGGCCGCAGTGCCTCCTTCAGCGTCTGGCGCGGCCGCAGTGCCTCCTTCAGCGTCTGTCGCAGCCGCGGCCGCAGTGCCTCCTTCAGCGTCTGTCGCAGCCGCAGCCGCAGTGCTTCCATCAGCGTCTGTCGCAGCCGCAGCCGCAGTGCCTCCTTCAGCATCAACTGAGGATCTAGGGATGAACTTGGGACATAGCAAGGGAGATGAAGATGGGTTTGAGTGGGAGGATGATCTAACCCAATTTGATCAATTTTATGGCTTACAATTGATTGGTGATGGTCTAGAGACGTTCCCCTTCTCCTGTGACCTTCCTCCATCTCTTGCCCTCATGGCTATTGATGCCCTTGAGTTGGGGGGCTCTGATGATCTCCCTTTGGACACAATTTCGCCTGACCTTAGCCACCTGACGAATATAGAATGTGAGAAGGCGACGGCCCTGTTACATAAATCTCTTTGATGGAGGTGAAGAAACAGTAGGACACATCCCTGATATGCAGCATCGAATCGATACAGATAATGCGCCACCTGTGTGTACGAGGCAATGGAGATTACCCCATACAACTCGCCAGATAATACGGGACCAATGTGAAGTTATGTTGAGGGCAGGAGTGATTGAACCTTCCTCTTCACCTTGGTTAAGTCCCGTAGTCCTCGTGAAAAAGAAAAATGGCGGCCTGCGTTTCTGTGTAGATTACAGGAAACTCAATGCAGTAACTAAGGCAGATGCATACCCACTGCCTCGAATCGACGAACTGCTGGACGAGCTTGGGCCTTCCTGCATCTTCACCACTCTCGATGCTAGAGCTGCCTACTGGAGCATCGACATACATCCAGAGGATAAGCAAAAGACCGCATTTAGTGACGGGTATCGCCTGTTTCACTTTAAAAGGCTCCCATTTGGTCTTAGCACTGCTCCTTCCACCTTTCAGAGAGCAGTCAACCTAATCCTAGCACCTGTCCTTGGGCGCCATACTCTAGCGTACCTGGACAACATAATTGTACACTCCAAAGACTTCGGCCAGCATCTGAAGGACCTTGGGGAAACTCTAGATTTACTGCTGGCAGCAGGATTCAAATTGAACCCCGAGAAGTGTGCAATTGCGGCTACAACAATAAACTTTCTAGGCTTCACGGTGTCTCCCGATGGTATTGCTCCTGACAGAAGCAAGGTATCAGCAATTGCCGAGACCCCAGCACCCAAGAACATTAGAGAAGTCCGCCGATTTCTAGGGGCTACTAACTTCTTCCGCAGACACATTCCCAGGTATGCCACCATTGCAGCACCCCTCCATATCCTATTAAAGAAAGGTCAAGTTTGGGAATGGGGTGAAGAGCAGCAGTCTGCATTTCATAAGCTGAAAACCTTGCTGGTATCTGAGCCGATCCTCCAACAACCCGACTTCACGAAAGAATTCGAGCTGCACACGGATGCCAGCTCTCTCGCTATTGGGGCTGCCCTCATGCAACTAGGTGACCAGGGTATTTTACATGCTGTTGCTTTTTACAGTCGGAAGCTGCGGGGTGCCGAAACATGATACCCAGCAATCGATTGTGAGGCCATAGCTGTTGTTGAGGGTGTGCGTGTTTTTGATGCTTACCTCTACGGCCGTAGGTTTGTAATCTACACCGATCACCGCCCACTGATCCATGTGTTCCGACACCGCACCAGGTCGCCCCGCATGACGAGATACGCACATGACCTCTCTTTCTATGATTTTGACATCAGATATAGGGAAGGGCCAATCAATTATGTTCCTGACTTACTATCCCGGCAATTTGCAACAGTCGACATTCATAACGTCAGCCCACAGGAGCTAGCCACTCAGCAGAGCCAGGACCCAAAATTCAAAGAGATTCTGCATTATCTTAAGTCTGGAATGGTGCCCAAGCGCAAGCTCCCTTCTGCCCTTTCCGACTTTGAACTTAAAGATGATATCCTGTACCGCTTACTGCATCTCCCTGATAAAACTGTCTTCCAGCTGTGTGTACCAGAGCGTCTTCGTAAATCAGCCCTGAGAACTGCTCACACTCCACCATTAGCTATGCATCCTGGCATACAAAGGACTTATGGTAACCTCCGTAACATGTATTATTGGCCTAATATGATGGCGGATGTACGAAGGTATGTAGAGGAGTGTCAGTCATGCCAGCAGAACAGAGGGGTAGCACAGAGGGTGCTGATGGCTGAAGCTCCTTTGGCTCTTTACCCCTTAGAGAGAGTATCCATGGACATACTCGACCTCAGCCAGGCTCCTGTACGTTATGCTCTCTCCATCATTGATCAGCACACTAGGTTTCTTCAAATTGTGCCACTGAAGGTTATCACTGCCACGAAGATCCACCAAGCCTTCCTTGAACACTGGATAACCTACTTTGGACCACCACATGTAATTCAGAGCGATAATGGTAGGCAGTTTACTTCAGGCTTGTTTGAGGAACTTGTTACTCTCCTGCGGTCCACTCACCACTTTACCATTAGATACCATCCTCAAGCTAATGGTCTGATCGAACGGACCAATAGGGTTGTCAAGGCTTCTCTCCGATCAATAGTTGGGGAGCACCCTGGCCGATGGCATACTTA